GGGGGTGGGCCGCCCTGCCGGGAAGAGAGAAGTGGTGGGAGCTGAGAGCACACAGCGGGACTTTCGGGGATGCTAAAGGATTCAGCTCAAAGCATGATGTTAATTAATGACTCTTCAATAAATTAAGGAGCGTTTGCCAGGAATGTGGGGCTCTGCCAGAGTGCCAGGAGGGGGGGGCGGCTCATCTGGTATGGGCAGCGGCAGGCAGAGCGCAGGAGCACCACAGGGAGCGGAGGCTTGGCACCTTTGCTTTCCAAAGACAAATACGTGCCGGAGATGATGACTACCACGCGGATCCGGCCCTAATCACTGGGATAAGCGAGACACCAGCTGTCGCTATTGGGAGACGCAGCGATTCAGGGGGTCCCAATTCGGAGGTCCCCTTCCCCGCTCTCCCCCAGGTCGCCCGGTGCTTCCCCACCGCTCTCCCACCCCAGACCCCCCTTGGGAGCAGGGGGCTCCCCATCCCCCAGGGCACGGACATGGGGCAGGTCCCCGGCCCACGGTGGCACCGGTAAGCAGGCTTAGCCCAGCCATTTCTAATGGGTGCCGGGGAGGCAAGGGCTCACTGCTGATCGCTGCTGACCTTGTAAATCAGCCCCAGCCTCCCTCATTAATTACCCAGCACATCGTCAGCCTCCCAAGGACACCCAGGCTCTGTGATATCTCCTCGTTAGGATGATGCGGGTGGGGGGCCACGGAGCTTTAGCTAATTAGGGGGTTGCGATGGTGAGGGTGGGAGCACCGCTGTTGCGTGAGGGTGCTGGGGGATGACAAACTGTTTTCCTGACTGACGTCCCCGTGCAGGGCGCTGGCTGCACGGCACTGGTGGTGGCCGTGGTGGCCAGGAAGCTGGAGCTTACCAAAGCCGAGAAGCACGTCCACAACTTCATGATGGACACGCAGCTGACAAAGCGGGTAAGGTGCCACAGGGGGCGGCGGGATCTGGGGATGCTGGGTACCACGGTGTGAGGAAGGTGTCGGCACCCCTGGGTGTGGGTCCCACAGGTGCCACGGTGGGAGGAAGGTGTCCGAGTGGCTTGGACACAGCGCAGGCACAAGCATTATGGTGAAAGCCAACAGCACCAGCTCTGTATCAGGGATTTAGGTGATGCAGGATGCTTGGCCGCACCCCTGAGAAGAAAAGCCCATGTCTTTTTTCCCTGGGAGGATGCAGACTCTCTCCTCTTACAGAGCATGATCTCACGTAGCTCGGTGTCAGGAAGACAACCGGATTTCAGTGATTCAGCACCTCGCCTGCTGCAGACGAGAGCCACGCCGTGAGGCTCCTGCGGTTTCCATCCCCAAGGAGGGACCCAGAGGCTGCGGCTGCGGTGGGGGGTCCACAGGGTCGCTGGTTGTGCCGGGGTCCAGCGTCGCATCCCCGGCAGCGTGCAGGGGCTGCAGCAGGTCTCTGGGCTCAGCAGCCTCACCATGGCAAAGCGTCAGCAACCCGACAACGCTGCATGATGTAATGGGCTCCACACGCCGGCGGCAGGAGTGATATTTTATATAGGGGATGGTGGTAAAGCAAGCATCAGCGCAGCCCTTGGAAGGGTGACCTCCCAGTGCCGGGATGGGGCGGGGGAACTCTGCTTCGCCCCAGAGAGCAGAGCCCCGGGCAGAGCCGCATGCTGGCCCGAGCCCTGATACCTTGGGGATAGTCGGGGGCCTCGGCGTGGCTGGGAGGGGGAAAGCAAACAGCTGGACAGGCCCGCTCCACCGCG